AAAATGAACTCACCAAAGAACCGAAGTGGAGACTAGAAGCGACCACGGCAATACAGGAGTAGGAGACACCAACTTGGAGATAGATGCACGACCTCAAAATTTGGATACGCGATGTGTGGTGAAGAAATGGGCCCCTCCATGCCTCTATTTATAGCTGCAATGCCTAGGGTTCAATGGTTGAGATCTTGGGCGATCCAATGGCTCTCGTGGAAATCGGTTGCATGCCTACTGATATCGAAACCGGTTGAGCACGTGCTCTGGCGTTCATTGAATTCATAAACCATGTGACGCCCGTGCATCCCCGGTACGTGATCTGGTTAGCCCGATTGAGCCAAGCGAGTCAGTCCGGTCCAACCAAAGAACCGCTCTTCCAATCGACAAAGTTCAGGCCAATTCCACCTAGCCTCGCCGTGAAATCCTTACATCGGGTCATCGTGAAAGGACCGAAGCTATCCGAATCCCGAGTCCGACGCGAAGTGGAAACCCCTTTACTAGAAGCTTCGCATTCTTGCTGGAGTGTGTCCACCTCAGACAAGTTGGAGACCGAACCCCGTACTGAGGCATTCACCTTGGTGGATTGAGACTCTTCAGCCTGTGCCGAGGTCCTCACCTTGGCTCCGGCAGACTCTTCACTAAAGTCAAAAAGGCTACCCGTGATAATACTAGATATACCAAGCTACTTAAAGGCAAACAGGAAATGGAGAACAAGAACAAAATGAACTCACCTAAGAACCAAAGTGGAGACTAGAAGCGACCACGACAATACAGGAGTAGGAGACACCAACCTAGAGATAGATGCACGACTTCAAAATTTGGATACGCGATGTGTGGTGAAGAAATGGGCCCCTCTATGCCCCTATTTATAGCCGTAGTGCCCAAGGTTCAATGGTTGAGATCTTGGGTGATCCAATGGCTCTCGTGGAAATCGGTTGCACGCCTACCGATATCGAAACCGGTTGAGCATGTGCTCTGGCGTTCATTGAGTTCATAAACCATGTGATGCCCGTGCGTCCCCGGTACGTGATCTGGTTAGCCCGATCGAGCCAAGCGAGTCAGTCCGGTCCAACCAAAGAACCGCTCTTCCAACCGACAAAGTTCAGGCCAATTCCACCTAGCCTTGCCGTGAAATCCTTACATCGGGTCAGGACCCCTGGCACGGGGAGTGGGGGGCAATTGATAAGGGGTGATTTGGCCCGACCTAATGAATAAAAGACACGTGGATGCGACCTTCCAACCAGGCTATGACTCACCACCTCGGTAGACTGGGCCACTTCGGGCACCTCAGTCACCTTGAGTAGAACCAGAGTTAGGGGACCTCGGTAACTTTATATGCCGAAGTGGGACACGGTGGATTCTAGAAGCTCACCTACGGTCCCCGAGCCTTCCGGGATTATACTACATAATTGTAGGACTTATTCTCATCCTGCTTGAATTGGATGGAAGCGATAAGCCTTATCAGTTAGCACGATGGCCACCATATGAAACGGAACAGACTCCTACCTCTCGCTCCAAAGATCCCGGAGAGACCCCTTCGGATTCACGACAGCTCAACTATATAAGGTCTTTGAATCCCCTAATACAAGGTACGCGCGATTATTTTCTCACTAGCTCTCTCATACTCAAGGTACGCGCGATTTTTCTTCTTGTAGTTCGAACCAGCTCGCTACGCGGCTAGCTTCCAAATAACCCTCCAGCTAGGAGCTCTTAGATCGTGCACCATCAACATTTATTTTGCATGAAACCATTGTTTTGGTTTCAACATGTATCAAATAAATAATAAAAAAAGAAACACTTTGATTTATGTGCATGAGGCGTTGCATGAAAATTTTCAATCATTATTGAAATGAAATACTTAGTTGGAGAATTATATGTTGAGGTGAAAGATAGCTTAAGAAAGGTAATAATTACAACCGTTTGTGACAACTAGGCGCTAATAGACACCACATCAACATAACAGTTAAAAAATGGCTAACCGTTTGGGAAGCTTTAAAAAATCACTTCCCGAAATGGTAGTGTAAGAGACCAAATTCACCTTTTGCTATTCTCGATGCATACAAAAGAGTGTAAGAGGAGAAATACTGAAGTGACACTAATATGTTAGCATTTATTAATGCCTACGATTCCAAACACCCTCTAAATTAATGTTTATATGAAAAACACCCATCTATAAACGTCCACGAATCAAACACATACTGACATATAGGTTCCGCTTACATTTATTGACGGTGCCACATAGGCACCCCATCAGCAAATACCTCATTAATTGCATTTGTGTATATCGAAGTTTGCACCTCTCTCATTTCAAGAAGCTTCATTTTGGAGCTTACTAAAATGGGTAGGTGTTTATTGGCATTTTGTTGATATGGTGCCTAATGGCACCTATGTGTCATAAACGCTCGTGGACGCGACCTGCCAGCTAAGCGACAGATCGGTGTATGGAGTTACGTCAGTAGAGCGGGGGACCTCGGTCACCCGGTCACTCCGAAGCTCGGAGTACCTCGGTACCCACTTGCGCCGAGGTGCCAAGTAACCGAACTCAAAAGCTCAATGGTCGTCTCTGAACTTCTCGGGATCACGCTGCATAATCGTAAACCTTATCCTCATCCCGCCCGCATCGGAGGGAAATGATAAACCTCATTAATTAGTGTGCTACTCTCCCAGTAACGCGGAACGGATACGTACCTCATGGGTCGTAAGTTCCGGGAATGTCTCGCGTGACCTACCGTAGTCTAGCTATATAAAGGCATCAACCTCCAAAACCCAGGTTGGCACGATTATTTATTCACTAGCATTTTAGCACTCAAGTATTCAGCTCGCAACCATAACACAATACTGACTTAAGCATCAGAGTGATCTCGCCGGGTTAGCCACTCCAGGTTCTTTGATCCTCTATCTTGCAGTTTGGTCCAACTCACCATACGACTAAGGTCTAGATCATCTTACAGCTAGAAGCTTCCAGATCGTGCACAATCACATCCTACTGTGTATTGGAAACATTTCTCCATAAATATTAAATACAAATATAGAAGATATTCCTGATGTACAATCAACACATACCGTAAGATCGGTATGAGGAGCAGATCCGAACTCCGTGGGAATTGGGATAACTGAGCGATCGGGTTTACCCATTACTACCACAGCTGTGACTAAATAGCCCAATGGTTTCATTATAGACCATCTTTCTTATTGTAAGCAAGTGGTGTGAGACTTGTTTGACGACTAATTAATCATGCAAACAATGCCTAATGATGCATATCGATTAAGTGGTTGTAAAATTTAGAATTGAAAATTGTTGAACACCAGTCAGCAGGTTGTGAGTTGTGACACTTGCCATTAGCTAGTTCTTCTTTTGCAAAATTGCCATTAGCTAGTTGATTTCTTTCTATAGTGCCAACTTTGCTTCATAAGTTCATATACTTTAGGGCAAAAAAAAAAAGAAAGTGCATCATATGCACGTAAAATGATGATGATGATATCTGTCCAAATTTTTTTAATATTTATTTTTACTAATTTTTTAATATTTCTATATAAAAATTATTTTATTTATCATATTTGTTCTGTTCAATATGATGCATATAAAATATTATAGATGTGCTTAAATTTCTTTTACAAAATTTATGTAATATTTTTGCAATTTTTTGTGTTCTATCTTTTTATAATTTATTATTTAATTATTCATTAAGGATTGACACAATTGACTTGAAAAGGAATCAGAATTTACTCCTAAAAAGCATAGTTCTCACACTGACCTCACAACACATTCCACCTAGACCTGTTAATGGGCTGGACTGCTTGGATTTTGCCAAAATTTTAATAGGTCTGGCCCAAAGCCTGAGCCCGAAACCGTATAAAGTCGAGCCCAAAGCCCTGCCTATAACAGGTCTAATCCTCCTGTGCATTCGGAACATGCTCCCATGAATAACAACATACAAGTATGGGAAATGTTCACAATATGTGACTTGGACATGCTGCGAGGTTGGTGTTAGGTGCTGATCCCATCTACTTGGAAAGGTTGAACTATTGACTTAACATCAAATAGGAAAATATTTTATTTTTGCATCAGTTTAAAATTGTGTATTTCATTTCTATCATCAATAAAAGCAATTCTTGTTTATTACACATTTTTCTTTAATATGATTAATGAAAAGTATTAGAGATGTTCTCAAACTTTTCTTCATTTTTTAATTTTTGTATCTATTACTATTTCACCATTTTTATTATTTAACTATGATATCATGGAATTGCTTACTCACCACCTACAAAAAATAATTTTATTATTTACTATTTCACCATTGAGATGGTTAAATTGCTTACTCACCACCTACAAAAAATAATTTTATTTTTGGGTCTGTTTTAAAAAACATGAATTTTATTGTTAAAAGTATTAGATATATATCTAATTAGTAGAATTTATTGGTGAGAAAAAATATATTAGATATAAGATTTAGTGTGAGAGAATGAGAATTTTGTTTTTCTTTTTTTGGCATTTGGTGTTACATGCACCCTACTAAATAATAACCCCCTCCCCCAAGTTGGTAGTTGCGGAAATCAAATCCATATCAGTGTTAGAGCGAACCAGCCAACATACTAACCGAGAGAATGAGAGTTAATGCCTTAAATAAAAGACTTAATGAGATGGAACTAAATAAGGTAAAAAGTAATAGTTCACATTACATTTTCTTCCCTATGGGTATTTTTAATAGAAAAAAAAAACAGAGCCATTTTAGTCAAGAAAAAAAGTTCTACCAACTCGTTCGTAATTATATATAATAGTAATATAGATTAAAAACTTGGAGGCGCAATAGCATTCAGTCATTCATCAAACATGATTGGAGTAATAAAAGCTGACCCAAAAAAGCTTAAAGCTAAACCTCTTCGGGCTTTGAGAGTACACAAGTAAAAGCTTATACAATACAAGCATATGCTAAAAGCTTTCTCTGAGACAAAATTTGAGGACTGTGGAGACGACGGAAGTTAATGTTAGAAAATAGAACAAAATCTATCGATAATTCAATATTTTATTATAGATGAGAATAAATTGAGCAAATGGCTTCTTCATGCCATAAAAAATACCTATTATATACAAGAGGTTGTCATCTGCCAGTATAAGTGACAAGGTTGTCAACACCGTGGAACGCAGGGGCTAGGGGATCCACCCCCTCCCCCTCCCCCACCAAAATTAAAAAGGTTCTGAAAACATCCTTTATATATGTTATAGATGATATGAGGTGCCTACCATCCAAACAGAGCGCCCCCACACACACACATACAGTGACACACACACATGAGCAATCCTTCTTCCACCTTGCTCAAATGTATTCTGTTGTAGTTCCACTGTTTCAATCTGAGGCTCTACCTCAGAATATAGGATTTGCGAGCTTGAAATTACGCTTTCCTAAGAATGGGCCTGTTAAAGCATCCATCCGAGAGCTAATAACACTAGCAATACGGAAACCTTGATTCAGCAGTTCTGCCCTTCTTTTGGAAAAGAATTTCCAGATATCCATTTGCATCTCATCATCCGATCTGCAAGAACAATAGCCTTCAACCAAGCTTGTTGGCAACACTCGTGAATATCACACAAACATTAAAAAAAATACTGGTCTTTGGAAGGAAAAATAAAATGCTCAGACTCCATTACACAACCATGCACACGAGGTAGTGTACTGATTTTGCTAACCTCTCAAGTTAGTAACAGTGCTGGAAAAAACTACCTCCAGGGTATTACAAATCGGACCATTAAGACAAATAGGGAATATTTAAATCCACCAACAAATGGACCCAAGAAAGGATCCATCTAGGTTCACATAAGTTCAGAACTGAATATAAATCCATTAGAAAAATGCAATGAAAAAACTGAGGTAATTCTTGTAGAGTCGTCTCTCTTAACACTAGTTGAAGGATTAGGTTGTTCAGATTTCCGACAAGGTAAATCTAATGTGGAAGTTGATCAAAAGATAATGAGTTTAAAAAGGACAAAGATGCAGAGGGACCTGACAAAAATATCCGCATTGATGCGTGCATATAAGCATAAGAAACAGTCAACCAATGGTAGTCAATATAGAAATGCCATTTTCTTTCCTTAAGTTTGGGATCAAAAGCACTAGAAAGTCTCGCCCAAGGAAGAATTGTATCCTGCACAATCCAAAGAAACTACAGAACATGCAAAGTAAGGAGTCTAAAAGCTATAGGTTCCCAGTCCAATGGTAAAATTGTGAACTCAGATTTTCTTTTCTTTTTGTCTTCTTATTTTAAAGATGTAATAATAGATTCAATATATAGAATTAGTTCACAGGCACCATAAAAAGGGTACATGTACCAACTATGGAAGATGTATTCATCCATATCCTGAAGTGGTTAAGATAAACTCTGGGTTAGGTTTTTGGAACTTCTTCAAGGGTCCACTGACAACAGTGTCACAAAAGCAATTTTCAGGTACCCCAGCTTGAGCTTTTCCCTTGGAGATTATAATGATCATCAATTTGACCACCATGGCCTTCAAAAGAACCTTGTAAAGCCATTTGTGGCCATCAAATCAAAACAAAATATGACAAATGATTACCCATGCTATTTGGAGAATAGTTGATTAATTTTCTCAAAAAGTTCCACCACATGTGCAAGTAAATGAAGTAAATCAAGCAATCAACGTTTTGGATTTTCTAACTCAAGTTAGGAAAAGGAAAATCTCTCAGGTGTCAAAACAAAATTTGAAAAAATTCTCCCAGAGAATATAAGGTAAACAAGATCACAATTTTCACGTATTAACTTCTCTACACTAGATGGAGGACAATCACATTGATTCATCTATAAGTTCTACATAGTGTTTTAAAAACAAGCATCTAGATGCATGGGGCATGAGGCTAAAGCTTCATGAATTACCTAAAAAATAAGCATAAGAGAAATGGTTTGTATAGGAAGAGAATATAAAGGAATGAATGATCACACATTTTCCTGAAAGTGCTTGTTTCAGGCATGAGCCACATACACTTTAAAATACTGGTTCAACATGCAAAATTTCATAATGGATCCAGTTCCCTAGATCTCCAGAAAACTGAAGATATAAGTGTTGTTCAATAATAGAAGTATCCTTAACTAGAACAACCTTAAAACCTAGAAATATCCCCAGGATAGAAGAGTAATCAAGTTACTATCTTTTCTGTTTTTTTTTTTTTTTTTGTAGGTATTATGGGGGATGTTGGGGTTTATATAGACTAGAAATTCAATGCTTATCCCTGTTTCATCTTGTTGTCCATTTATATAGACTAGAAACTCAATACTTAGCCCTGTTTCATCTTGTTGACTATCTTTTCTTTTTCTTTTCTTTTTTGTAGGTATTAGGGGGGATGTTGGGGTTTATATAGACTAGAAATTCAATACTTATCCCTGTTTCATCTTGTTGTCCATTTACATAAGGTCAAGGATATAAAGGGAAGCACAGTGCACAAGGCTCCCACCAATGTGGGGTCTGGGGAGTAACAGATATACGCAGCTTTACCCATGCACATACAGAGAGGCTGTTTTCAAGATTTGAACCCTGGTCACCCAGGTCAAAATGGAACAACCCAACTGTTGTGCCAAGGCCCAGCCTCTTTCTGCAAGGTTTTCCAAAGGATCAAGGACATGTTACCTCATAATCAAAGATGGCCATCCTCCATATCCTGCAGAAATGAGTTCTTTTGTGGTAGTATTACACTGTTCCTCTGTCTTCCTAGTTATAAAGATCAGGGACCACCCACTAGATTGGAGCTTCATTAACAATCTTAGATAACGTATGTGAGCCAGATGCCTCACCTCTCCAACACAATCATTCCTGTCATGCTGTCCAGATCTGTGTCAAAAAGACAGGAAATTAGCTATTTTATCAGCAATAATGATCAAAGAACTTTATCAATTAATACAAGAAGAAAATAGAAAATAGACATCCCATGCCTCTGTAAGTTGGATAGAAAGCCACCAAATCAAGGATGGACTTGCTTTTGCAGAGAGATGGAGTACAGTCTAGGGATGACAAGTGTTAGAACGCAGGCTCAAGTTTGAGAGTGGCAGCTTCATGTTAAACATGCCAGAGGTTAGGTCCATTTCCAGTGCAACCGTCCCAATACCATGGATTGTTTATACCAGCATTAGGTAAATGTCTTTTTATATGGAGTGAAGCCTAGAGCATTCCAGGCAAAAAAGGATCTCTCTAGATCAAGTTCCCACCCAAAATTTTCCACTGTCCTAATGGAAATGGAATCATACCTGATGCGTTTTCTCAAAATGTGGATGGATGGCATCTATAGCTTTCCAAGGCACCTTACAATCACTCTACTAGCTAAAGTAAATTCCCCAATTGTTCTCATAAAGTCAATATCTTCTCTTAATGATTAAATGCCAAACACTTTGATATTCATCAGGAAACTTCTAAAGTAACTTTCCTAACAAATAACAATTATGTATTTCTGTCACTCTCTAATGCCAGGCCATAATCTTCCTTCTTCCTATTAATAGTTATCTGGTTCACAAAATAATCATTTTAGGAATCCCCAAACTCCATGGAAGTTCTTAATTATTTTATCAATTATTTTGATGGATTTCATAGGAGAATGAGAGGCTATCAGAAAATAGATTGGAAGAGAATTTAGCTTTTAAAGCTGAATCTGATTTTTGGTTGGCAATGTTCTCACAGTAGTAGGACATTATGTAATGATTGACAGAATATGCAGATTATTGATCTAAACCATGCACCCAGCAGTAAAAATATTCCCTAAACAAAGTAAATGTGAATTCAAACATGGCATGAAGAGAAGGTCAGACTTGATACTGAAAATATGGAAACAACATAGAAGAATATTCTTCTCCAATTTGTTTGGACTATTTTATATTTCATAACCCCCAGAAAATATGATTTAAGCTTAGATCGATGCCATTTATGTTTTATTACTCACAACAGTAATCTTCAAAAGAAGGTGGAGAAAACAATGCTATCAACAGAATAAGTCAAGAGGGCTTAAAAAAATTACCTCAACAGCAATGGATGTGTATGATGAGGATTGGAGGGAAACATATCATCTATATCAATCAAGATAACATCCAAACCATCATCCTCTGGTGCCAAATTTCTAAAGTAGCTCTCAGCAACCAGCATGGTCAAGTTCAAATCTCTCAGATATTGACCTTCTCTGAAGTACCAAATGGCATATGTCTTACAAATGGTTGGAAACTCATCCAGTTCCAAGTTGTTAACCTCCACGTGTAGAGCAAAAGCTTTGCAATAATCAAAGTCATCAATTGTTTTCCTGAGCTCAATAACCCCAGCATTCCTATTTTCACAGGATTGTAACATGACAGCCAATGCTACCAGCACCGTTATAAATAAAACCCCAACTGTTACAAGTGCTGCAATGAAGATTATTGCAGCTAAAGATGTGAGATAGAAACCTGGCTCTATCAAATAACCACTGCTTCCCATTTCTGCACCCAAAAAGAAGAAAAGGTAAAGAAATAACTGCTGGGATATGCCATTCAATTGGTCTAATGCATTGGCAATTAGGTGACCATAAGACAAATGTATTTCCAAAAATTCTTGGTATCAGCCATTAGGTGTATTTTGCATGTCTACCGATGCATTGGCAATTGTACAGACATGCAAAGATATTGATATTCCATTCAGCTGATCCAATGGAATATTATATGCCAAATTGATACCACTTGTGATCTTAACTATCCAGGTTGGATCTTTTTCTGACCCATTCCTCGTGTTATTCATCACATCAAAAAATGCATCCAGTCAAATTGAATTCTGTATACAAGGTCATTGGATGGGACCGATTGACATATTGAATAGTAGATCTCATTCCCCTCCACAAGCACCATGTCAATCAATTTGCCAATGGCATCTGGTTTTAATGGTCAATAAACTAGGTACTTCAGAAGCTTCATCAATTAAAAAAAATAAAAATAAAAAATAAAAACGCATGCATTCAAAAGAAGCTGACAAATTATTAGGATTAACATACCAGAACGTTCTCTACTCAAAAGACTTGGAGTAGAGTTCCCACGCTCCATTTCATTTTCCAAAGAAGACATGGTTCAAGTAGTATATCTGAAGAAATATATCACTGAGATGGAGCCAGTAGAAAGTCTATGTGATCCTCTCACAGATGAATAGTCCAAACAAACAGAAAATCAGGTATATTTAATGCACCCCAAAATCAGACGACTGGTAATTAAGAATATGGGAAGTTAACAATGTCCAAGGTACAGAAAATATAGCTCAGATTCCTTGCCTGCCACATTAATAAAAATTGGAAGGCATGAGAAGCTCCAATTTCCATTGAAATCGATTAAGCAATTTCAGATGCCACTCGATAGGAGGCCATCTGGACAGGCCATTTCCATATTCATCCTTCAATAGTCACTTCCTTTTTGTAAAACTGGCAATTGATTGGGAAATTAGAACTCCACACCTGATGTAACTTGGAGGGGGATTCAACTCATTCCAAAGGGGCACCATTAATTGAATTATTCAAACCATTGAAAATTACATCGAAGGTAATTCAGGAAGAAGCTTACCTGAGAGCGAGACGAAATAAGATGTTGTGATCCCTGGACCGGGTTGAATGTGAAAGAGAATCAATCGATATAAAGAAGAGAAATTGAAATTCTGCCATCGATCGATCAAAAGCGCTCCCACTCTCTTTCTCTTTCTAATCTATCTTTCGTCTCCTCGTGCTCCGGCGGTAATCTGAAGTCCAGTCTGTTCATCAGTCATCACTGAGTTCACTTTTGCTACGACAGTCATACTCAACGCAGGGCTAAAATGGAAAATCATGGCCTTAGATGTAATTCAGTGGCCTGTGGCCCCACCAACACGTCATTTCATCTAATTAAAGGTGGGCCACGACAACACATCAAAGGTACGCCCTTGATCATATCCAACGGCTGAAAACCTCCACTGACATACCTCTCTCCATAACAATAACATACATAATGACGATTGCACATACCATACGAATTTAGGAAGAAGCTTCCGTGAGTTGCATAAATTCGTTGCTTATAAAGGCGAGTGGGGGATAAGTCACATCCGCAGTTAGTACTACAACACAAAACGACCTTCAGTGAGAAATTTTCAAACTGACCTTGAACTGTTAAGACTTTGACTTAAAGACCCTTAGTTTTGGTAGGAAGCTGACTTGCACACGTTTTCCACCAATATAGGAAACAAACTCGTTTTTCTGAAAGAAAGAAAGAAGAAGGATTTGTTTGGTATTTCCTTGTATCTTGTTGAGAAATTGGTTCTGAGATGGAAACGAGGAGAAAGAAAATAACCACCCAGTACATGTACATCCCAGAACAAATCATCTGCAACATCCTTAGTAGACTTCCTGCTGAATCGCTTCATAAGTTCAGGTATGTCTGCAACCAATGGTTCAACTTAATCAAGCATCCCCAGTTCATCAAAGAACACCTCCTTCACTCCAAGCCCTGTTTACTCATCCAGGACCGAATTGTCACCAAGAGATCACTGTTCGACACACAATTGATGTCTATTGAAGGAGCAAACATTAGGGTTCGAGACCTAAGCAGGTTCTTCACTGGTCAAATCTGGGCCAGTTGTAATGGTTTGCTACTGGTGCAAAAATTGGGTCGATTATACTCTTCTGCATATTACTAATCCTATCACTGGGCAATGGTTAGGGCTTCCTCCGTGTAATGGGTTCATTGCAAGCGGTTGCACTTTTGGGCTTGCATTTGTTCACTCCGCTGCAGTCTGCAGACTATAAGGTGGTATGCATATTTCGCCATTGGTATGGCATTAAGTGTCAGATTCTTAGTTTAAGAGGTTGCTTTAATGGCAGATGCAGTGATACATGGAGAGATTCGAATGGGCCTCTTTCCAGACTAACACCATCGACAATGGAGGTCTCAATACTGGTAAACAGTGGAATTTTGCATTGGAAGACAGACTCCCGAAGCCACATTCTCTCACTGGATTGCAGTAATGAAACATTCCAAAGAACTCCTCTCCCAAAATGTAAGATCATTAATGTTCGTCTCCTCGGTCGAGCAATGAAGATTGATCAAAATAGCAGTCAACTTGTTTTCTATGCTCCTCATGTTAATAGCAGCATCTTTTGGACAATTAAAAGAGCCTCCACTGATGTGTAAATTTGATCCCATCTTCTTTAACTTAACTTCCTCTAGCTTGGTAGTGAATTGTTGTGATTTATATCTGACTATGTAACACACATATAATTTTCAGTTGAATTAATGCATAAACAATTAAACATTGGACAGGCAACTGGACTTTGTCCTTCTTATTTGCCATCATTTTGTATTATTTTGGAAAGATAGTGCAAAACCTTACATTTTGTATGTATTTGTACTCTTTCCATCCAAATTGAGACTTAGCTTAGCTTGTGGCCATGTACTCAATTCGTGCCCGTAATGCCATGTGAAATGAAGGATTTCATTGTCGTTGTATGCTAGCAATCCATGGTTACAGAACCAGCAAAATGGCCTTTTTTGAACACAACTTTTTATGGCTTTTTGAACTAGGAAATATTAATTGTTCATCGATCTAAGTTAAACTAATCATTGTGAACTTCTCAAAAAAGTATATATCAATAAGTAATATTCTCAAGAATATTATGTGTATATATAATGGGATTGGAATATCCCAAAAATAATAATTAATTTTATTAACATTGGGTAATTGCCTAGATGGAAAAAATAATTTTACTAACATAATTCGATATACAATATCAACTTATATTTTTACAATTTACTTGTACACATGCATAAGACCTGCCTTATGCTCATTTATCCAAAAAAAATCGTCTTCCTAATTTCCAGGGAAATTTTCAGTATAAACCCTTGCCACAGTATGAAGGGATGAGAGATCCATCGTATGGACGCCCAAAGATTGCGGAATAAGGAGGGTGAATTTCAAAAAATTTTCTCTCCCTTCAACTGGGAATCGCATTCCCTATTTAGAAAATCATATTTTCAATGATCATTCTTGAACCATAAACTGAACCAGATCTGAACCAAAAAGGAGTAGGAGAGGATTATACCTGATACGGAAAAATAGTATCCCCCNCCCAACGAAGGTGTTCACGCCCAAGGAAGGATCCAAAGACTGCTCCCACTGAAGATGGCGCAGTGCAGGATGGAGCAGAATCAGCAGTGTTCTTCTCCAAGAACTTTGTCCTTCGCAAGAATCAATAGGATGGCACGTGAACACAGCCTCCTATCAATTCTTTCTCAAAGAACTGATGTCAAGATCGAATCTTGACTTCTCCCACAACTGGAGATCGAATTGGGAAACAGGGCGGCAAGAAAGAATTCTGTAGGGATGCTTAATTCTTCCTTCTTGATTTCAGCACTGAAGAGGATCTGAATGTGTGTCTCTTAAAGGCTGCTGCCCCTCCTTCATTTGTTAACCTAAAAGATCAGCTCCTAATCCAATTAGGAACTGCTTATCCAAATCATATTTGGATCAGTCATCTCTTTAGGTGATAAGGAAAAACCCTTATCTTATCTGCAGATTGGATTAGCTTTCTCTTAATCCCATTAGGAGGTTTCTAGATCTGAATCACATTCAGATCTGGACTCTCTGAATTTGCCCCTTAATTACCTAATTAAATAGCCCAGTTTGAAATGGGCTTTAGACCCATTAAGCTTATGTACTCACTTAACCTTCCTTAACTGTTGTCCAGTTGGGCTTCCTTGTATGACGTGGGACTCAAGCATTGATCTACACATCAGCCACATGGGTTTGGCCCAGCCTTTGTTACAAGGCCTGGCCAAATACACTATTATGGACAGTGCACCCCTTGAAACCCATCAAATGGGCTCTATGGGCCCAACACTTACCCTAAGTGGTCCCTAGGCCAAGCCACCTTGTAATACCCAAGGACTGTGGGCAGATGCAATATTAGCCCATCAGGTATTATCCTCAATGGTCTTACACTTAACCTCTCAGCCCATAACGATCATACACTGCCCGACAAGAGAGGACCTCTCCCTCGGCTGCAATGAACAGTGTTGCACTTTCTACTTATATGGATCCCGGGAATTAAAACCTTATTGTAAACATTTTAGAAGCCATAATATATATACTTTTATATCTCATATAAAATATACTTTGCAAAACAAATCTCGACGATTGAAATCGGCTGCCAGTAGTCTTGGTTTCCATAAGTAAGAGTGCATCCCCGATCATTACCTTTGTCCGACAAAGGGGCCGATCCTGTCACTATGATCACCCACTCAGATGAATTCTCAGACTGTCCCAACATACCCAGGTTTTGACCCCGCTAAGGATCTCACTGATTGGTACATCAAAGACAGCCCAATGCGACACCCAGTCCAGTATCATAATCGAGTCTAGGGGTCGGGTGTAACTTTCCAGTTTTGCCCATTAATCTCCAAGGTCCAGGGCAATACTGAAAATTTGGTCCAATTCATAGATTCAATTAATCCTACACTGTATGTGCCTAGGGTCTCACTCTGACAGCTGAGACAGGCCACCCCAACCGACTTGGTGGCACCACAGTGTCAGCCTTATCAGGATAGGTCTCCCCAGACCGACCCACTGGCTGTGAATATTCTAAACTAACATGAGTCTCATTAAGTGTCCAGTTTAAGGATATTACACAGAAACATACTAAGGGAACATGAATCAAATATGCACTTTTATTCATTTACAATAAACTCATAAAGTGCATCATTCTGATTGAAGCTAAGGGCATACAAAACTGTCTAACACAGTAGAGAGAACAAAATATTGCATTTTGAGCATTTGTAATATTTTGATATCGTCAAGACCCAGTATAAAAAAGTATAACAATAATATTATCTGTTAGGTGTAACAAAACATACTAAAAAAGATGGTACAATATGAAGTTGATGGGGTTAGGCACTGGGAAGCTCATCACATTCATGATAGAACTTGTATGGGCTATTGACCCCACTAGCTAACTCTATGTCCATATCTGAAGAGATAATTTCCATTTTTTACTTTTGGTTTAAAGACTCTAGGGTCATTTATTAGAACTCCATTATAGTTTGTTGGATTTATTTCAACCTACCCTATAATTTTCATTTTACTAAACACCTCTTATAGTTTACAACCTATTTATTTAATTGATCTTTCACTAAGAAATATTTGTTTTATCATCCGAAAAAAGTAACATGATTACCTAAACCAAGTGGGAAATGTTAATGGCATGAAGCAATGATTGTCTATTTGAAAAGTACCCCTAATACTTCTTAGTATAAAAAAAATTGACCAAATAAAGCCAAATAGAGTGGTTGTTCATGTCTTTATTAGGGAAAAAATGGTATTTTCATTTTCATTTTTATTTTTGTTTGATTGATTTTATTTAAATGGACATTAGGTCAAAGTTGTCATTTTCCACTATTATCTAATGGAAAGTTGATTAAGTAAATCAATTGCAAAACTATAGGGTTGTTTTAGCAGATGACCCAAGATAAATAATGTATGTGTTTGGTTATGTGGGTGTTTATCTTAGGGTGTTTATTGCTTTAAACATTTGTTTGAAAAACTTTACTTTAAACATTTTTTTTTTACTTTAAATGTTTCTTGCTTTTGCTGTTTAGCTGAGATAACTTTAAATGTTTCTCACTTTCTACCTTAGTTCCACTTAGGCATTGACATTTATTGTGCATGAAACCACAATTTTGCTTTCAACATTTATCAAATAAACAATAAAAACAAAAACACTTGGGATATATTTGGTATTGTAGGTGATTATTGGAAAAATGCCACCACATCAGTGCGACTTCGACATTGACATTTGATAAGGGGTGATTTGGCCCAACCTAATGAATAAAAGATATGTGGATGCGACCTTCTAGCTAGGCTATGACTTGACACCATTCACCAC